CAAAGTCGAACTGGTCGATGTAATACATCCATCGACCGATTGTACTAGTGACCGTATCCTGCGTTTTATAAAAGGTCAACGGATTGTTGTCCGTATTCCATTTAAAACGCTGACGGCCGAGAAGAAAGTGGCGCCACCGTTTGAGAACGGTGACGAACGCGAGTAGCTCTTTCTTCCTAGCGTCGTTGAGAGTGTTTACGAGAGGCACCTTTTGGGAGAAATACTCAACCGGATGCCAACCGTCCACGTGACACTGTTCCAACACCGCACCAATCCCGTATCCCGAAGCGTCCGTAGTCACTTGGGTGGGTAGGATGGGGTCGTATATACTGAGGGCAGGTGCGGCTTGCATCGCTGCCTTCAACGTAGTGAATGCGCCACGGGCTGCGTTGTCGAACTCGAAGGGCACCTTCGGGGACTGAAGTCTTGACAAAGGAGCGGCCACTTTCGAGTATGACTCCACGAATCGTTGATAATATCCAGCGAATTCCATGAAAGAGCGTACGTTCGTCGTACAACGGGGTTCCGACCAATCCACGATGGCTTGGATCTTGTCCGCTAATGGACGAATGCCTTTCGGCGTAACATAGTGGCCCAAATACTCAAGCTCTTGCTTGGCGAACTCGCACTTGTCGCGGTTCGCTTTGTACTTGGCCAGTCGCAAACAATTCAAAACAGCGCGAAGGTGTGTGATGTGCTCGTCCAATGTCCTGCCATAGACCAAGATGTCATCGAGGTAGATGAGGACGCTGCGATCGAGCAAGTCGCGAAACTCAGTCGTCATAGCTGCTTGAAAAGTTGCGGGGGCATTGGTGAGGCCAAAAGGCATGACAACCCACTCAAAATGCCCGTACCGCGTCTTGAATGCGGTCTTGTACCGATCTTGAGGCTGGATTTCAATCTGGTGGTAACCTGACTTCAAGTCCAACTTCGAGAAGTACGTCGCGCCGCCTAACCGCTCAAGAAGATCATCAATCCGAGGGAGAGGGCCGGCGTTCTTTACGGTCTGTGCGTTAAGTTTCCGATAATCGATGCATAACCGTAGATCTTTGTTCTTCTTCCAGACGAAGAGAATAGGGGTGCCGTATGGCGAGCAACTAGGGCGAATCCAGCCCTTGTCGAGAAGGTCATCGAGTTGTGCGCGAAGCACCTCGAGTTCCTCTTCGCTCATGTGGTAGATACATCCACGCCGAGGGACGGCGCCAGCCTCGAGAGTGATCCCGTGACGTATGGGCCGATCCGGAACCGTTCCGGTGGGAGCCTCGAAGACGTCTGTATACTCGTCCAAGAGGTGAGAAATATGTGGGTCCGGCGGTGACGCGGCTGGTCCGTCTGGCGAGGGGAGCGCATGCAAGAATACAAGGCCCATCTCCTCGACGTCATTCCGAGCTATGGCGTCGCGAATTCTCGCAACGGAAACCACGTGACAAGCAATCGAAGTGCGAGGGGTCGCGACCGTACATGGGACTAACACTCCGTTTCGATCACGGATGTGAACGGTCCAGTCGTGGAAGTTCACCGGATGGTCGGCGCTACGCAACCAAGACATGACTAGAATCATGTTGAACTTGGTGTCGAGGACGTCAAAAGACACCGGCTCGCACGCAAGTGGCGCAAAGTAGACTGGAACGCCGTCAACGCATCGGTCAATTGACTTTTGCGTGCGGCCGTCCGCGAGTGTAACTTGCGTAGGTTGCGTCTTTCTTCGAACGCGCGGGCCAAGACCTGCGCGGGCCATAAAGGCTTGACTCATGAAGTTGCGAGACGTTCCGCAATCAATCAAGGCACTACAGGTTGCCTTTCCGATTTGAATGCGGATATAGAGCAAAGGTGCGTCGGTTTCGGCGYACCTTTGGGTGGCGTGCTCGCGGTCRATCTTCGCAAGATAGGAGCGGAGATCG